CCCCTCTAAATCAGACTTTGTCTCAGGCGGCTCCTCTCCTCTTCCCAAACTGAGAGCACACAGAGCTCTGGAAACTGAGCAATAAAGGTGATGAAATTCAATTTTAAAAATTCAATTTTATTTATGTAGCGCCAAATCACAACAATAGCCGTCAAAAGGGAGAAAAACTGTGACTCTGGACAGAGTCAGATCAGGTTGTCTAAGACATTTAAGTACACACAGTATATTATATTTGTTGAGATTGATCTTCAAGTGGAGTAACATTGTCGTCAACATATCTGTCTTTATTTTGCACTGCTCTGTGTTTGTGTGGATATGAAATGGTGTTTACACATGGGGCAGCTCATTGACTGGCTAAGGCCGTCCCTCCAGTAATACATGGAGATGGTAGGATGCAAAGGTGTGGTTCTGCACAGCAGTTAGAAGGAGCCCAGTCAGAATCAAATGGGGAAAGAATGGAACCAAACACAGACAGCTTCTTGAAAACCTGGGCTTCGAGGTTTACCTTTCAAATCTAAGATAGTTTGTAGGTCTCTTTTGGTCTGATCATCTTTAAATGGAGCAGGGAAAACCCAGATTTAAACCCCGCAGATCATCAGATGGAAGCACAAAGACACTTTGCATTCAATCTGAAAAAGATTGAGAGGATCTGCCACATATAATAAATAAATAAATGGAATAAACTGCCAAGATCCAGTTGCAGAAAGCCCTTCAAGACTTCCAAGAAGACACGAGCTGTAACGTAGTGTAAATCCAAGCTTAAGGACCCATCCAGTGGGCCCTTTAGATTTTCTCCAGACATCACATTCATTTAATTTGGAGCATATGCATTTCTCCTTTCTCCTCTTCAGCGAGAATGATGGGGAAACCATCATACTTCCTTTGGCTGACACTGGTCAGCAGGTGATTTGAGAGCCGCAGAGGAAAGCGGCTAAACGCTAAAGTGCATCAGGTATTTAGCTTACATGTTTCTTCCTTCCTGTTCTCAGACATTTTTTTTCCTTACCAATAAAAGCATAATTCAAGTATAGACACCGCAGCGGTTTCCTAAGAGCTGTTAATTGACAATGTTAGGAAAACCATAAATTATTTCACATCTGTCTGAAACTCGAGTAATTTATGACGTTGCAATATATGGTTATGGTTGCATGTAAATGCCTGGGGTTTTTAAAAGCTGACAAACACGCTTGTTTTTTGTGGGCTTGGTTGACTTCTGCTCAGCGTCTGCAACACTAATTGCACACAGGCAAACCCATGATGCTGGCACACAATCAGAAATGAGAAACGGCCACTTTCTGGTGTTTTCTTTACATTGAATGCACGAATAAAGTATGTGCACCCTCCATAAGTGATTAAAGGCCTCGTGAGTGTTTTGTAAATTAAAAATGATGCCTTCACATAGAGTTCAGATGAACCATCAAGTCGCCAGGCATTGTTTCAAGAGTTTGCACCTTAAAATCTGCCTGTAGTCCCTACATGAGCTTACCACTAAATTAAAAGCTGCACATGACGCTGCACCTCCCTGCGCAGTATGTGTGTATATGTGTGTGTGTGTGTGTGTGTGTGTTCCTTCTTTACCCCACTCAACCCCAACCCAACTTTCACTTTCCCTGCACACTCTTACACTTCCTCCCTGCCCAAACACCCCCTTCACCCTGGACTCCCCTGGCCCCTTTCTCACTGCTTTCCCGTGATCTCTTAAGCACTACAAACCACCTCACTGAATACAATCTCTCTCTCTCTC